AAAAAATAAATTTACATTTAATTAATATTTTTTCTTATTATATTTGAATAAATTTTTTTATTTATAAATTTTTGAAATAAAATCTTAAATGAATATAAATCTTATATAACATCAGAATAATAAAATTACAATTATTTCTTGTTATTCTACTTCATCTAACTGAGGAATTATTTCTTTTATACTATTTTTAAAATATTTAATTGACTCTTTTATAAAATAATCATTATCAAGTTGAAATGATGTTATCTCATAAATATCAGATATCATTTTATTAGATTTTAAAAAGGTTTTGATTGTGTGTTCTTCATCAGGATTCTTAAATTCAATTAACATGACTTGTAGTCCAGCAGATATTTTTTCTTTAATTTGTGGATTGGCATTTCCTCTTATCACAACATGAGTCATAGATCCGATCTTGGTAAATAACATATCTAATTTATTTTCTTTCCATTTTTTATTATTAATCCATATAAATCCATTATCAAGATATTTTAATTTCTTGCAATTTCTTATTATATTTCTACATATAATTATGTTACAATTATCTTTAATAAAAAGATAATCATTATTCTTGTTTTCAGAATATAAATCTACAGCACATAAACTTAATTCTTCTATATATTTTAGATAATTAAATAATGGTGGTTTTATATAATTATCTTTATTGTATTTATCGTAATATAAAGAATATTTCAAAACTTGATCCCATGCTTTGATAGATTGTGGATTTGATTCATCAAAATTACGAGTTATATTTGACCATAATTTCGGTACAAAATATTTAGCCCAAAAACGTGAAACAAGGATATATATAAAATATTCTGTACTTTTACAATTGATACATAATATATCAAATATAATATCAATTATTTCATTTGGAATACTGGATAATGTTTTCTTAGACATGTTTGATTTTTTATAAAATATTTTGATAAATACGCAATTTTATATCAAATAAAATAATTATTAATTATTTATAAATTTTATATTAAATTATATAAAAAATGCTATATTCAAATTTTAAATAAAAATAATAATTCTACTAAATGTTATATTGAAAAAATTTTTGTGTAATGTTTGTATACCCATTAAATTAAAATATGTTTATTAGAATTTTAGAATGTTCGAAATATGCAATTATTGATTAGATTTAATCATATGATCTGTTGTTTATTTTAAGATGATCTTTTTTTTTTGTAAAACAAAAAAAAAAAAATAAACACGATTTTTTTTTCTCACATTACGAATCTTTTGTTTTTAAAAGTTAGTATCGTTTATTTTTTTTTTTTTTAATAAAAAATTTAAATGATTAGTATACTAGTTAAGATACAAAAACTTTTATTTCTCTCGTCTTGGTAACTGGGGCCAAGAACTATTGAAATACAGATAGTAAAGTTGTAAGCGACCGTGCTTTTTGCTATTTGCCTTTTATGCGCGCTGCGATTTTTTTGTTTTTGTTCGATGATAAAGTTTTATTCTTTTATTTTTTTTATATATTTACGTAAATAATTATCTTATAGCTATTATTCTTTTTTTTTAGATGTCTAAAACAAATGAAATTAATGATGTAACAAAAATTGATAATATTATTGCATCATTATTTGCATTTCGACAAGATTTAATTAACAAAAAATCTTGTGATGATTGTGAAATACTAAAAGAAAACTGCCAACGAGCTTTTAGAAAATATAACAAAGGATTATCTCTAGTAAAAAATATTGAAAAACTTCAAAAGGAAGTTGAAGAAACGAACAAGAAATATATAGAATTAAACACTAAATTTATTAATTATAAAGAAAAACATGAAAATGTAGAATAGTTTTATTCATTATATGTATAATTTTAAGATTATTCTTTAATAAATAATAAGTATATTTTAACTGATATAAAAATTTAAATCGATTTAAAAGATGATGATAATGATTTTGAAGGTATCAAATAAAAATTTGGAAGTGAAATATTTAATCCAGCGATTAAATAAATTGTCTTATTATTATATTCTGGTTTTTCTTTAAAATCTATATAAACTTGATCGTGTTTATATGTTATAGTAAATTTATGAATTAAAAAATCACATGAATTTGATTCTTTTTCTACTAAATAATATTTGATTCCATTTTCATTATGTATTTTTTTACAAAGTTTATTCCATAATTTACAAACATGTTTAAGTTGACGATATCTTCTATTGAAGATTGTAATTTCTTTTGGTAAATAGAATGAAAATATAATTAATAAAAGTTCATCAGAAAATTTATTCATATTGTTAAATAAAATACAAATTTTATCTACTTTTCAAATTACAAAAATAATCAAATATTTATATATTTTAATAATTTTTATTTAATAATTTAATTAATAATATTTATAATAAAATTATAGTTCATTATATAAAAATTTAATTTAAATTAAAATTCTATCATGATGTTTTTGAAATTCTGAATAATAAATATTTTTTTCTTCATTAGAAAGAAAAGAATAACGTTTATAAAAATCTTCATGAATAAGGAATTTTGGAATATCACAATCTTTTAATTTTAAAAATTTTTCTCGTATATATTTATCCTTTTCATCTATATTAATTTTGTTGATGTATTCATCATATAATAAAACTTCATTAAAATTTAATAAAATAGTAGTTTTGGGAATTTTATATAATGAAAATTTGGCTTTTTCATATTCTGAATATGTTTTATATATATTTAAAAATCCAATATGAGTTGGATTTTTTATTGTATAATCACTTCTGAAACATGTAAAGTAAAATGGTTCTACTAATAAAATAATTGATAATAAATCTTTAGAAAGAATGGAATTAATAGGATATAAATTAAAATATTCTAATAAA